TATATGTAAATTTTTATGAGGAATCAGTTTACTTAATAAATAAAAAGTAATTTTCTTAATAAAATTTATGGTAAATTTAAATTTACAATTTTAGTAAAAATTAGCCAATATTAAACTTATAAAATTTATATAAATATTTGCTAATTTTTTTGTATAAATACAATTTTAATTGCAAATTACATGTTTTAATAAAATAATATTTTAAATATTTACGATATTTAACAAATTTTATAATTTGACTAATTTTTAAAAGTTATTTATAGTAAAAATATTTCAATAATTATTTAATTTTAATAAAATTTAAAGTATAATCATTTTAATTGATTATAAAACAGTATGTAAAATTTGAGAATATGTTATTTATAGAATTATTGAATAAATATACTGTTACACAAAATGCAGATCATTTAGTTGATATGTAAAATACTAATTGATATTTTGAAATATTTTACATAATAATATATACTAAAATTTTACAGGCTATTTTATATCCTTTAAAAGTAATTATATATTAAATTATATTAAAATTGAATAGTTATTGAAATACTTTTACTATTAACAACTTTTAAAAATTAGTAAAATTATAAAATTTGTTAAATATTGTAGATATTTAAAATATTATTTTATTATAACATATAATTTGCAATTAAAATTGTATTTATACAAAAAAAATTAGCAATTAATTATATACATTTTATAAGTTTAATATTGGCTAATTTTTGCTAAAATTGTAAATTTAGATTTACCATAAATTTTATTAAGAAACTTGCTTTTTATTTATTAAGTAAACTGATTCATAATAAAAAAATACATATATTTATATATTTAAAAGTAATACTTACCTTTTACCAATAAGTTGCATCTGGAGGTTGAAACTATAAAAGTTAGCTCAACATAAATTTTTTATAAAAGTATTATATTTAAAAAAAAGGTATTTAAATAAGTAAAATAGTTCCTAAAGAACAAAAATATATAAAGTTTTTATAATATATAACTTAAGAAAATTTATGTTAATATAAATACAAAAAATTACTATTTATTAGTAATTATAAGAGAAATGAAATGACCACTAACTGATATCCGAAATTCTCTAAATAATCACCAGATTTTTGAATAAAGATTTTAATTCAAATAGTTTAGTTAAATTAATAATTTATCGAGTAAAATGAGTATCAAAAGAATAATAATAAATGAAATGAACAGAATTCTAATACATTTAAATGTTCAAATATTTTTCCTAAGTTGGTTATAAGTTTAAGATTGACGTAATATAAAATAATAAGAAATAATTATTAAAATTTATAATTAACTAATAAAAATATTTGTAATATTTTATTAAAGTTTTTTCGAAAATACTTCTGAAAAAATTAATCAATTTTTATTGATAATTATTTTTTTATAATTCCTTAATTAATCCGAATTTCATTCTACACTTAAACATCAAATCATTAATATAAATAGCTACATTATTGTAAATATAATTTATATCATTCTATGATTCTAATATTATAAATATAATTTAATACATATTATTTTATTATTTTCTGTTAACTAATTATTACCATATCAAATTCCTAATTATAAACAAAAAACTACTGTAACCATCTTTAAATTACTTAGTATTACATCATGATACTAAATGTTTCAATTTAAACAAACTCATTGGTCCCGATGCGAAGCAATATAACTGAAAATGATCCTAAAATATAAGATAATATTAACCTCCAATCAAATATTATAAAAAGAAAGAAGCAACCATCCAGTAAAATACAGTAATGCAATGCAATCATTTTTTATAATTCAAAATTTTATGGTAATACAAACCTTTATGCTTCATTAAAAATCTGTCTTGTGTTAAATTTTCTATTACCAATTGCAAACGTAATGGCATAATGGCAGAAATTGATAATTTGGATCCTAATATATATATAATGGTATCAGGACATTTCGCCGAAAGCCATTTCGCCGAAAAATAATCTCTGGCCTGAGTTATTTATAATTCTGCATAATGTTGGCCCTATTTTTCGGCGAACCGTCCTTTCGGCGAAATGGCTTTCGGCGAAATGTACCGTAACCATATATAATTTAGTAGATGATAAAACAAATTCTTTTAATAAATATTATTAAGCAATCAATAATTTCATGCTTAAATGCAATAGTAGCACTTTAATACTATTAAAATATTTCTTATATTACCGCTTTTTTAAAACTGACAGGACATGTCTCGGTTTTATTTATTTATTTATATTTTTATGCCTATGTAGATTAAATATGCCAAATCAATCATTGTGATGGTTCAAAGTAAAAATTTTTCTTTATTATATTTATACATATTGAATAAAAAAATTATGACACCGATTAATAGCTCCTTTTAAGCCATAATTTCAAGATAAGTGAAGTAGAAAAACATGATGATTTTAATTTATAAAGCTCTTGGTAATAAATTTAGAGATTTCTTGGTATATACAGTATTATTAAAATTGAAGGTTTACATAAAAGTTTAGTAAGAAAAAAATAAGAATAAGAGGATCTCTTTCTTCTAAATAAAGAATTAAATTATAGAGTGATTCTATGTCGCCAAGGCGATTGATTTATTTTTATTTTTATTTTGTTTCCTTTATAATAAAGCCTACTATAATCAATTTAAAACATTTAATTTTTAATATATTAATTTATTTTTATTTAGTAATAAAAGAATTAAGAAATTCAAAGAATTAATGAAACTGATTTTGTACGCTTTTTTTCTCTCATTTTTTTCTCTCTCTCTCGTCTTCTCCCCTTCTATTATTTTCAGCTTGATTAGAAACTGATTGGTTAGACAATTTCCACATTATTAGAAGTGGCAGTTATTTATACATACTAATCATGGATATGTACATCGCGATTTTCGTAGTGGAAACGTTTTAAAAGAATTTTTCAGAATCTTTTGAAGAAAAAAAACGAAGATTCAAATTATAGTATTACACCAAAATATGATATATTACTTACGTAATGAATTTTTCGATATTAAAGGAACTCCAAAATTTTAGATTTAATGTGAAATTATTGATATTATTGAAAATTGAAACATTTAATGGAATTTAAATGTTGAAGCATTTAATTATAGCAGATCTAAATTTCTAAAAGAAAAAAAAATCATTTATTTATTTTTTTCTAGTAAAGGTTAAAATATACATTTCATAATTTGTTAAATAAAATTTATTATATCAAATAAAGTAATATACAATACATTTGTTTTAACGATGTTTGTCGTAAATAATAAAATATTGGCTGTTAGATTTAGTTATATTCTAGTTAAAAATTTGAATTAACGTTTATCACTTGCTATAAAGTGGAATTACTAATATTTTACTGTATGAAGCATATAAATTTTTTTGTATATTTCAAGAGTAGATAGTAAATTTCCAAACCGTACATTTTACATGAACCGAGTCGAAGCGCATGTATCAATTTTAATTTTTTTCAATAAAAAATTCCTGAAACGAAAGATTTCTTTTATAGATAAAATGGTTCAATTTTAAAAAGATTCTCAAAGTATATTGAATAAAACGAAAATGGTAATATTAAGAAAAATAAATAATTATAAACTGTTAAGGATATCTTTTAAATCAAGTAAATTTTCCATTTCTTTTCTTGAAAAATACTTGTCTTTGAAAGTTTCTGGAACATTTGAGAAAAATTTACGATAAACTGGAAACAAATAACTCATAAAACTCATGTCGGGAATATAAGTTATTGTGTTTAGATTTAATCCTAATCGAATATATTCTATTTGCTATGTGAATAAAAAAATATTATTATATTTTGTTCTGAAAGGAAATTAATCTGAATAAGTAGTAATAGGAACATACCATTTCAATAGAATTTATTTCAATTGAAAGTTGATAATGTAGGCCAAATATTGAAGTCTGATATTCTATCCAACCTAACCCCTCAAGTTTTGATACATCTTCATGTTTTAACAAATCTTCTCGATAATTCTATAATTAAGTTAATATTAATTTAAAATTAAATAAAATAATAGAGATTTTAATTAATTAACTTACGCTATTGTGTATAAATTTTATAAAGCAATCCTCAGATAATATTTTTTTAACATTCATTTTACAAATGAAATAATCATAATCATAATCATAAACAATGTTTAGTTTAGGCAAAACCAAATGAAGATTTTCATTTTTAGAAGACAATACCAGCCCTGATAAACTTTAATTTAAAGTTATGATTAATTTGTATTTAAGACAATTTGACTTAGTATTATTATGAGTAGACTTTACCTGCTTATATCACTTTCTTGAAATTGACAAAGTTCGCTATTCAAATTTGTAAGATTTGAAACAAAATATACTTGTTGTTCTAATGAGTTTAAGGTATTAATTATCATTAACTTAACTAGAAGATAATAAATAATTAAATAATTTGAATATTTTCTTACCTTTATACATATATTTACTAAATTCATCGACAATTCCAAATTTGGTAAAATCATTTTTGTTAATTTCACAATCTTCATATAAATATGACCGAAAATCTGGATGATCTTGTATAAAATAACCAATAAATGCAAATTCAACAAAATCTAAAACTATTTTTGCTAAACTATACTCTTTTAATTCAATATAAATTTTGCATCTAATAAGCTGTAGAAATTTATCTTCATAAATACTATAATTATAAATTCGATCGATTTTTGTCAATATATTGTTTAAATCTTCAGAACTATTTTTATTTAGTAAGTATTCTAGATGAAATAACTGAATCTTTGCTAAATTATTATCAGAATTCAATAATTCTGCATACTTTTTAAATGATACTTTAGCATTTTTATTATCATTCTTTGTACAATACGTTAAACTTTTAAGACAATATGCTGAACTATTTAATGGATCTAATTGTATAATTTTATCAAGATCTGATAATACTTTATCATATTCCTTAATAATATAGTATGTAATAGCTCTCCTATTCAAGTTATGAATGTTCTCTGGATCTATAGTATAAGCTTTTGTAAAGTATGATATAGCTTTTCTATATTGTGTCATATTATATAAAATTTCTCCATAATAACATAAAACCAAAGAATCCTCCTTATTGATATTTAATAATTTATCTAACAAATTTAATGTACTTAAATAATCTCCTTCTATTTCATAAGCGTATACACAATTTTTAAGACATAAATAATTATTTGGATCATTTTTTAATGCAATATTATAATTTTTTATAGATTCATGATCATGTGATTTATTACGTAATAAGTAACTATTTCCGAGTAATATATATGAGTTATTTATTTTTGATTTATAATTTATTGACTTATTTAAATTAACTATTGCTTTATCATATTTATTTTGTCTAAAAAATATTTCTCCACGAATAAAATAAGCAACTGGTCTTTTTGGACTTAAATTAATAGCTTCTTTTAAAAATAAGTGTGCTTGTTCGTAATTGTTAAGACATCTATAAATATACGCTAAAATACATCTTAAAGAATAACTTTTAGGAAAAAATTTCATAAATTCTTTGCATAAGGATTCAGCTTTTTCATAATTTTTTTCATTTATTTCTTTTATAATATTTTGGTATGTTGGATGTTGTTTTTTTGTAATTCTTGAAAGTATTGGGGATGATATTTTTGAATTTAATTTAATGATTGAATTCATAAATTTCTTTTTTTTAGTTAAAATGAGTTCAACTTCCGAATTATCTGATTCATCACTGTCATATAATTGATCAGAATTTTCTAATTCAATTGAAGGTAAAATATGTCCGGATTCAAAAAATTTTGTATATAAATTTTTATAAATTGAATTTTGTGGTAAATATCTAATATCATTATCTTCAATTTTTTCTCGACAATTAGGACATATTTTTTGCTTCAATTTTTTTAAATTGCTTAATGCCAACATATGTTGACATTTTAAAATACATAATTGATCTGTTGGTTCACTACTAATTGGACAAGTAATTTCATCTGCTATAACATCTAAAATGTTAGAATTTGATATTTGTTTTTTCTTTAAATATAAATTTTGATTTAAGTTTTTTCCTTTTCCCTCTTTTCCTTTTCCAGTATTATTACTTAGAGTTTTTAAATCTTCAAGGTATTTCCCTTTAACAAAAGTTAATAAATTTCGAAATTTTTCTAAAGAATCTTCCAAATTATTTTCATTTAATTTTTGCGTGTATTGATCAAAATCAATTTCAATCATTGAAAACATTTTATTGTCAATATTATATAAATTTAATAATAATTCAATAGATTTAAATTGAATAAAATTGCTTGGTGCTTTATTAAGTGATTCAATTGCTAAATAATAACAAAGACCATATGTTGCTGTTCGAGATGATCTTTGGATAAGATTTTGTGCAAGATCTAATATTCCAAACCACAAACTATGTGGT